AATTGAAAAAAACGTGGAAAACAGAAAGTGGAATCAGTAATCTGCTGTAGTACTTCTTACTAATACGTACTTGATACTTCTTCCTGAATTCATTGCTATGATTTCCCTTAAACTGAAATCCAGTACTTCTTACTAATACGTACTTGATACTTCTCTCCTTCCTGAATTCATCGCTATGATTTCCCTTAAACTGAAATCCGCGCACTGTGCATGCAGTTCCAGTGTAGCAGCAGCAGGGAAAAGACATTCCTGTTACTTGAACACATCAACAAGAGTCATGTCCTTCCAGTGAACCTGACAAAATAAACTTAACTTGTGTTTTACAAAGAAACAAAACACACATTGTAACTAGAGGCAGCTGGCAGCACCATTAGTCTGGCGAATGTAAGTTCACTCTTTAGGATGTGTGTAGCCATCAGAGGTTTGACATCCTCTTCTTACAAACATGCTTCGGCCCTGTCAGTTTATTCTTTCCCAAACTGGAGCCAAACCTAAGGCTCGTGGTCAGAAATCCTACTTTATTTTTTTTTTCCTGAATGGAGCCCGAGTTAGTTGCAGCACGTGACGTGGTTTTACCACGATAATTTTCGAAGGCACCGTCTGATTCAACACCCCTTTGAAATCACAGCCACGCACCCACAGACTGAGCCGCGCCGCCCACCCCTGGTTACGCACACCTCGGAAACCTGCTGCGTTCTGGCACTGCAGGACATTTCTACAGATGGTAACACTGCCCAAAGGTCTCTGCACAATAATACCCTGACCAGTCACTAAAAATGCTTCCATTTTTCATTTGATCTAGCTATGAAACTCATATACTCCTAACCAGGTTCGAGTTTCAAAATGAAAAGCTGTTTGCTAAATGCTGACTGTTGCAGGTGTTTCAGTTGTCAGTTCCTGACCAATATACTCGAGAGAGTATAAATTTCATGTATTCAAGTTCTTTTATAGCAATAAAACTGACTTACCATTAGAAACACGTCTAATTAGATGAGCATGAAAACCTAGCAAGCCAGTTACTTTCATCATTCTCTGAGTGACGTCACAATACAAGGACAATTATTATCATTGCTTGTTAACATTCCATCTGCAGCAGTGTTTTAAAATTGAAGAGTCTTTGTGCTATGAGCTTACAAAGAGAAGTATCATTTGATTGTGTTCATCTTTAATATCTGGCCACCTAAACAGTGCATATAGCATGCTTTTTACTGTAGAAAGAAGTATTCCAGTTTGACATACTTACACAATCCCTACAGGCACCTTTATCATCTTCTATAATCTGAAGGTTACTTAGTTCAGCAGTAGATGGCTATATAGTTAACCAGCCCAGTCTTCATCTGTACTCGTGTTGGTATTTTCCCATATGTAATGGAAATAATATCTATCCTTTCCTATTTCAGAAATTTTCTGGAGTTTGTAAGTGTCTGGTTTACTAGTGTCATCCTGCAATTTCTTCACTGTAAGTCTATTAATTTAAAATAAATCCTTAAAATTTAACCTTCATACACTGAAGTGCTCAAAGGTTTAGAAATTCTTCTGCAGTTTAAGTATTTTTGAACAATGCTTAGTCACGTAATATAGGCTATATTATTTCAAAGAGTTATAATTTGAATTCTTGTAAATTTACACTGAATTCTTATAAGATATAACGTAAAATATAGTCAAAGTTGTATATAAAAAAAAAACTAGGCAAAGATCATCTGCTAAAAAAAAAAAAAAAGGAAAAAAAAAACCCAAACCTCTGCCGGCAACAATACAGAAAACACAGTTTTTTGAAGGTGGTATTCACCCTGGCTTTAATGTCCTCATGGCTGAGCTGACTAGAAAAGCCACAATAGGAAAAAAAAAAAAAAGGAGGGGGGGGGAGAAGTAGTGACAAAAAACCCCAGATGTTGCATAAACATGACTTACCTCAAGTTCAGTGTTTAAATATTTATCTTTCCAATAATCCCCAAGCAAAGTTCATTTAACCACTCTAGTTTCATGTAATTTATTTGTGGAATATGCATCAGACTAAATCTAATTTTGCTCTGCTTACTTTGGAGAAAGGAAATTAAAAGTGAAATAATGAAGGTGGCCTTTTATTCATTTTTTCTTTCCCAGAAACAGGCAGGAAGAGTCCTAAATCAATAAACAAGCAGAAGATGGACTTTCTCTGGTCTGTTTGGTTTTAAGAAAGCAAAATGTCCAGATAAAGTCAGGGCTCAGCCAGGCAGAAGCTCCCTGTTACCAGCAGGGGTAGCTCAACATATTCTCCTCTTAATTAAGCAAAGCAGAAACAGTGATATGCTTTGTATTATCTTTTTAGAAATTAAAAGATTTTAATTTTTTAATTAAAATAAGAAATTAAGCAATAAATTAAATTTAGTTTAATTTGAAGAACGTTGAAGAAATCTAAAAGCTCAAGCGGATAAAAAGGATAGAGCTTTAATTTGCTTGGTGTGCCAGGCAACCAGAGAGAGGCAAATGCACCCTGATTGTGATTTCTTTATTCAAAACAGAGGGTTAAAATGGCTTATAAACTAAATAAGTGGAATATAGACTGGTCCCAGGGAAATGCTCGGCCACCACAGTTCCCACTGAAATGAATGGGAGTTGAGGCAAAACTGGGTATTCTGAGCACTCCTTGTGCACAGTTCCTTCACTTGCCATCAACACCACCTCATAGGACTGGATTGGGTTGGGCAATCCCAAGCACAAGTACAGGCTGGGCAGAGAATGGATTGAGAGCAGCCCTGAGGAAAAGGATTTGGGAGTGCTGGTGGATGAGAAGCTCACCATGAGCCAGCAATGTGCGCTGGCAGCCCAGAAAGCCAACCATGTCCTGGGCTGCATCCAGAGCAGCGTGGGCAGCAGGGCGAGGGAGGGGATTCTGCCCCTCTGCTCTGCTCTCGTGAGACCCCACTTAGAATACTGTGTTCAGCTCTGGAGTCCCCAACACAAGAAGGACATGGAGCTGCTGGAGCAGGTCCAGAGGAGGTGATGAAGATGATCCGAGGGCTGGAGCACCTCTGCTATGGAGACAGGCTGAGAGAGTTGGGGCTGTTCAGCCTGGAGAAGAGAAGGCTCCAGGGAGACCTTCTAGTAGCCTTCCAGTGCCTGAAGGGGCTACAGGAAAGCTGGAGAGGGACTTTTTACAAGGGCGTGTAGTGACAGGACAAGGGGCAATGACTTTAAACTGAAAGAGGGCAGATTTAGATTGGACATAAGGAAGAAATTTTTCACTCTGAGGGTGCTGAGGCACTGGCACAGGTTGCCCAGAGAAGTTGTAGATGCCCCATCCCTGGAAGTGTTCAAGGCCAGGTTGGATGAGGCTTTGGGCAACCTGGTGTAGTGGAGGATTTCTCTGCCCATGGCAGGGGGGGTGGAACTAGATGATCTTTGAGGTCCCTTCCAACCCAAACCATTCTACGATTCTGTAATTCTCTTGGTACTCACTGAAATCAATACATGTCCTGACATGATCTTGGTGTATAAAGTGACACTCTCAAGTAAATCTGAACCAGGAAAACAATCTGCAATACTTTTGTCCCCACAACTGCTGTTAAATTAAAAAAGACTAGTTATCTAAATCAACACAGAAGTGATCTGATGGGAGAAAAATCCTCTGTTTCCAATACCTGTAGAGCATGAAACCAGAAATTGTCATTAAAAAGAAAATCAATACGTATAACGGCAGTGAATCAAAAAGAGCAGTTCCCACAGATCTCTCATCCAACAGCAGGAGACCTGGGGTTTTTAATAGGGGTCTCTGGGGGCTGTCAGAAGAGAAGGAAACAATGATGGTAATTAATGACCAGAATGCTGCTGATAGATGCTGATGCTTTGTAGTAAAAATTAACAAGGATCATGACAACCCACAGTAGAAAAAGCCCCTCCAGAACTACAAGTCCTGTGCAAAATCAGAATTCCCATTGAGAAGAGAAGCAGCTGATCATAAATTTGTCTGTAGTCAGATTTCCTGCCTTTTTTTCATACTGCACACATCAACAAACACAGTGGATTATCCCCAATCCTCTTTATTTTCTTGCATTTTACTAGGAAACAGAAATTAGTTGTTCAACACTAGACTTAGCTAGACAGAAATAAGTGTCAAGTGTTTTTTTTTCTACTATGTCAATGATGGAGGAATCAGTGACTATATCCCTTGAAAAATGAAACTTTCTGTTTCTTATTAGCAAGTACCAGCTGTGGCAGAATATAACCAAGGAGGGGGCACTCGCTTGACTAGTATTATGACATCATTTGCTATGATATCATGGCTTACTTTTCAAACTAAAGGAAAACTGACATCGTAACATTTGGCACAGTGAAAGATGCCCTGGACTGTTCGTTCATTTATACAAACTGTAAAAAGACCAAGTGTTTCTTCTGCTTCAGTCTGCTCATATTTATAAAATGCTGGCTATCAATTCTCTGCTATTTTTTAAGTTATGAGATTATTTTGCTTAAAAGTTAGTCAAGGAATATATCTACATCTTTTGGGAATAATCTTTGTATTTTACAAGATCAAGACCTAACTGTCACTTGGAATGGGTGCTGAGCTCAGGGTTTCTTTCAAACTTTCTAAAAGTAATTTTCCTAATATAATGAAAAATACTAACAATATACAATATAAAAAAAAGACAACACAGCTTTGAGCTAAGACCCAATGCCTGCTGATACTGTTCAGAGGTAACAGGTACTCAGCCACTGTACTGGTATCAGTAGAAGCTACAGGCAATATTTGTCTCCTCTGATAAACAAACTAAAAATGCATTTTCATGCATTTGTGAGAGCATGTCCCTGAGCATAGAGACTCCCAGACTTATTAAAATCCCTTTCAAATGCCGTGATGTAAATATGTCTTTGCCTGAACTCTGACAGTAATTTGACAAAACTTACTGTTTCAGAATGAAGACAACAGGAGTTCTGCTGAGGTTTCAAAAATTCTTGGCCTTTTACATTTTAATGATCAGATTGTATCACTGCTGTCATGAAGAAATGAGAGATACACCTACCAAAGAACTGCTCACTAGACTCGTGTGGGAAGCAGAATAGCCAGTTTCAAGTTCTGGCTTGGGATAAGCCCACGTACCCCAGGACTGACTGGTGTACGTATCTGCTTCTCCTGCTGCTGTTGTGACCAGTTGTTTCACGTTAGAGTTGAGAAACCTTCTAGCCATAAGATTTGCTAAAATCCACGTTACTGCTGAAAGGTCTTGCAGCGTGTAGCGTGTTCCAAGCTCATCCCTTCCAACGCTGACTGAGCCTACAGAGACCTATAAGGAATGTGTTTCTTGAGTAAGAACCCCTCTTATGGCCATTTGCTTCTCTAAGTGCTTTAAATATGCCACCTATGTACACATGGCTTTGAAAGACTCTTGAAAATTATCTCAAGAGTAGCTGCAGGAAATACTATAGATGATTGCAATGAAAATGTGGTTTTTATGGCATTTGCACAACTACCAGATGAGATTTAGTTTTAACATGTTTACACTTCTACACATTCAGTTGAATGTGTTTAATTATCAACTATGTCTACAATACAGTTCTGAACTAATTTTTAACTTTTCACAAAATTATTTTTAAATTTTGTTATGAGTGCAATATTTTTAGTTTGATTGTACAATTAGTTTGATTGCACTAGATATAAAGGACTTTAAGACGTGCAGAGCACAGTCGTTCGATGGGCTATTCTGGACAATCTTAGGCACAACATGCCTTAGTTAACCATCAAACAGGTAGACCTGCATGCTCAAAGTTAGAGAAAACAGTTTGCCCAGCATATTTCTTTATTATTTGAATTTTATTGAAACAGTAATCAAATTGGTCTATTTAGATCATCTTTAGCAGCAGCCATGTGATGTCATCTGGAAACCAATCCATGGCGCTCAATTAATTCCCTCATCACTTTCCAATCCTACTGCCCTAAGTGAGACTTGAAAATCAATAGTCCTAAAACTGACCACAGAGGCCATTAAAATATCTTCTTGGTGTGTTTTTTGTGGTCTTCTTGTAGCTTGAACTTCCTGTGGAAGGTTTCAGCCTTTTTTATCTTTTCACTGACATGAAAAGCTTCCTGAAAGAAGTACGTTTCCTCTAGGTAAGAACAGAGATGTTAACAGGTCTGAATTATTTTCAGGTGTTAGTCCTGGACTTGGATCCAACCTTATGATTTGAAGCCAAAACTTCAGACTGAAAAAAATCAAAATCAAAGTATGGCTGCTTGAACTAAACCAGGACATAGTGTACAGCACTTCTGGCTCAGTTTTGAAGTAGATCTAAAATCTGAAAATGAGACCCAATTCTAATAATTCTGAATATTTGTTGTTTGTTTGTTTTTTAACAGACAGAGGGTTTATTTTTTTTGGGGGGGGGGGTGGATGGGAGGGAAAAAAAGAAGAATCAGAGCACTGGCAGTGGTAAAACTGGCTTCTTACTGTTTAAAAATGAAATAAAATAAATCTGGTGCTGTGAGACATATACACATCTATATAAAGACAACAAGCTACTTTGTGTACACCGAAACCTCAAGAAAACACATTTTCACATGCCTGGACTGAAATGGTTAAAATCATGTTAATGAATTTTCAACTCCTAAGCTGGATTTGTGAAGTGACAAAACGTGCAATCCTTGAAGCAGTTCTATCCTGCACGTCGATCCATAGCTGTCTATTATTACTCTCTAATCAAACCTTGTGTTGCTCCCGCGGGAAACAACTCCTTTACGAAAAGAGGGTGTGTACATGTTGCACACATCCTGATTGCTACAGCAACAAAAGATCTGAAGTGGAGAAAGATTTCCGAACTCTTGTCCTGATGTCTGTGTTCCCTGTCTAATGTGAGCCAGAAAATGCAGATATGGATCTGTGTTCATCAGGGCTTACATTCGTCAGGAACGCAGAGACAGAGCCGCACCTCCAGCATACACCATCGGTATATTTTCCCATGTTTTTATACATTAAATCTGTGACAAAATAATAAAAAATGCCTTTTCTTGCAGCTTTTATCTGTAATTCATTATTCCTTCTAACTCCCAATTGTTCAAGGCTCACAAGCAGAGCATTGAAACACGGCCCTTTCATGAATGAAGTTCTGTCTAGCCTGCAAACAGGGCCGGCATTGCAAGAAAACGCACAGAAGTGCCGGGGAAGATCAGGGGCCGCAAACGAAAACAGCTTAAAACAGGACAGCTTTGTTTTCTTGGCCAAGCTCGAGAAGGTAGCAGAACTAGTTTGTAACTTCGAACTGCAAGGAAATTCACTAAAAGAAGATAAAATCTTTCTTCTGCTAAAGATCCCAAGATCAGCTGCGGGGACTTGTAAAAGATGTTTTTGTAGAGGCTTTGGATTATGAATAGTCGTACTGACTCACGACAGCAACATTGCAACGCTGGCTAAGGTAACCTCTGTGCCGGTACCGTAACTCTCACCAATGATGTGCTTTTTCCTTAAAGGAAGGCGGAGTTAGGAGTCAGTGTCAGGGCCATAAATAAGAGGGTCCTATGTCAGGGGACTGACAAGTCGGTTAACATAAGCGTATACTCGGAGCGAGCATTAGAGGGCTTTCCTAAGCCACCCCAGGCGGCTGGAATCGCACCGCACGCGGAAGAACCCAGCCGTCGGGAAGTCCAGCCAGAAACCCAGCAGCAAGAACGCACTTTCCTCTGGGCTGAGCCATCGGCTGTGCTGGAGGCACCATGAAGCCCGTCCCGAGCACCGTGGTGCTCTCGGCGCTCCTGCTGCTGTCGCGCAGAGCCGAGGAGCAGGCGGAGGCGTGCAGCTGCGCGCCGGCTCATCCGCAGCAGCTCATCTGCGACGCGGCGCTGTGCGGCCGCGGGGTTTCGGCTCCTTCCGCGGGGAGGCAACGGGACCGAGCTGCTCTGGCTGCTGCGATGGTTCTGTGCGGCCGCGGGGAATGTGTGTAACCAGGTGGCTCCGTCTCTCCAAGGGTTTGAGAACAAACTCTGCAGAGATCCCTTTTGAAGAGAGGGCTATGGAAAAAAAATTAAATAGTAGCGGCTGTTCTGCTTTTCTTGTTTTTCGGGAAAAAAAGTTTTGTGGTTACAAACT